AAAGCCCCCCCCCCCCCCCCGCAACAGAGCTACAGCAGCTTTATACACACAGGGAGCAGCTGAGGCCCCTGCACCGCGGTCTCCATGGAAGCAGCATTCTCTTTTAATATAAAATCATACCCACCAATAGAACCTGTCCAAGCGACATCCTTTAAAATATGTACAATCTCAGACAGGCTGTCACAGTTTTTCAGGGAAACAGAACATACTTTCCAACGGGATACAAACACAGGCACCTCCAAGTCAGTGCTCTAGCAGACAGCAACGCAGGTGGGTCCCACCGTAACGGGGACCCCTTAGCCGCTCCGCAGCTGGAAGGGGGTCCGGCACAGACACGGTCTGCTCGCTGTCCAGGACGCTCTGGCCTCCAGACTCATTCAACAGAAACAACAGGCGGGGAGAAATGTTTGAAAAGACCACGTCCACGTCCTCAGTGGGGGACGTGCAGGAGGCAGCTGATCGATGTTTCTCTCTCATCGATGTTTCTGACTCTCCATCTCTCTCCCTTCCTCTCTGTAAAAAATCAATAAAATATATTTTAAAAAAAAAACCTTGCAGTTTAACTTACACCCCGTACACCACCAGCCTGTCACCTGTCACCAGACTACCAGTGCCTGAACGAGAAAACAGGGGGAAAGGAGAGAGTGAAATGATGTAACAGAAATGGGGAAGTTTAATGCTAAAACGAAGAATCACAGAGAATTCTAGGCAAAGGAACAGGAAGAAGCCTGAACCACTAGTGTCACTAAGCCAAGCGAAGATCAGATTCTGGTGGGGGACAGGGGAGGTGGGGGGCGGGGGGATCAGAGGGAGAGAGTGGACTCTGGGAGCTGGGCCCCACGCCCCACGTGGGCAGAGGCAGCTTCCCTGGCTGTGAGGGCGGCGGCAGGCAGACGGGAGCACGTGGGTTGGACGGGTTCCACTGATGAGGGAACCACAGTGGTTTGGAACGCGGCGTGGAAAAGTGCAAGGGGCTCGGGTTACGGCTCCACCTCAGCCGGGCTCACGTGCGGGCGCTGCGGCTCGCTGCGAGGCCTGTGGGCTTCCACACCTACTTTGTGGGTTTGCTGTGAGGGTGGCGAGACAGCGGTAATGAGCTCCAGCCCGGTGCCCGGTGCCCACAGACGGGGATGCCACCTCCCGCTGTGGGCCGTGTCCCTGGGCTTCCTGGAGAAGTGACACCAGGCAGAACCAGCTTCGGGGACTGCGCGGGGCACGGCAGTTCAGAACAAACAGCTCATGGTCAGGGAGGACTCAGAACTCCTAAACATACAGGCAATTATATAGATAGTTATATTTATATTTATATATCTCCATATATAAAGGCATTTTTATAAATAAAATACAATAAAGGGATAACACTTAAAACAGCGTCACTAATCATATAAATAAGGCGTCCGCAATGAGGCTGCCCTGAAGGTAAAGTTGTCTTCCTTCCCGGCGGGCAGGTCCCATGTCCAAACTCCATCTCTCAAAGCCGTTCAGGACCTGGGCCTGGGCCCACACCTGCTTCCTGGTGTGAAACGACCACCTTCTAAGAGCTGTGCCCCGGTCTCCTCCACTTGCTGCTGCAGCTCGACTGGCAGCCGCGGCGCAGGCTTCCTCGTGTCCCATGACGTGGTCCACAGCCGTCGGGACGCAGCCCTCCCTCCAAAGCTAACTGCATCTGTGCAACGTGAAGGAATCCTGGACGGTGCAGCCGTGGGCTCCGGGGCAGGGAGCTCGCTGCCGGGGCGCCCCTGACACCTGGCCGCGAAGTGCTGTGCCTTACACTTCCTCGAGGGACTCTTGCTGAGTGACTCGGCTGCGACAGCACATTTCACCAAAGTTCTATTTATAAAACATATAAACGTGTGAGGGACTATGACGCACTCGTATAGACAGTAGATTAGCATAGTATTCTAGTCTGTGTCACTGTAATTTCTGGGGAACTACCTTTTTTTCACTGACTGCTGAAACTGCTAGACTTGAAAGAGAATTATTCTGTTTTTTTCCCCGAAGAGACGCACATTCCCCAAAGGAGCGATGATCCATTAGAGCTGGGCTTGGCGCCTCGACACCCAGGGCTCTGTGTGTGTTTACAGGGGCGGAGAGGAAAAGCCTCCACTGGCAGCTGAGGACGCCCTGCCACTTGGGCAGCATAACTGATGGGCAGCTCTGCTACCCAAAGCTTAGGTGCCAGTTTACTGACACGATTCTGAAAAAAGTCAGGGGATTTCAAACCATACCCTCCTCACCCTCCATGTGAAGCCTTTTCTAACAGCCACCCTGCCCAGGTGTCGCCCATGCTGGGAGTGAGAGGACGATTTCGGGTGGAGCAGCATCGTGAGCACAATCCTACACTAACAAGAGCTGCTGCCAAGGGGACTCCCTGAAACCCGCCCCTTTCTCCTTAAAATGTAAATCATTCTCCTAAAGTCATCCATTAAAGTCTCATTTGGTTCCTACTCTTAGAACACTCAACAAGAGGCCCCCGTGACCATTTTATAGACACACGCAAGTTTAAAGCCGTAGGGCTGGGCGGCCTTCTCTGCCCTGGCTGCCTTCTGTGGGCAGACTGCCCTGCGACAGCCCAGCCACGCCTCAGCCCTCCCCAGGACACTGCATGGTCAGTGCCCGGAAGGCGGACATAACTGTGCCCACGTGCAGAGAGTCCACGGCTCAGCTGTCACTTTGGGGAAGGCACTCACGGCGATCATGAGATGTGCTATTGTAAACAGCAGGTTACAACTGTGGTTGCTTCAGAATGTTCTCTGAAAGTCTGAGTAGACAATGTCGAAGGACAGCTTCCCACCTGAAAACTTCAGGCGGTCTGCAACGCCCTCTCAGCTGAGGCAGCCCATAGGCCGGGGCCTTGCAGGAGGCGCTCTGACGGGCACTGAGGTGCTTGGGAAACATGGAATGCTGAGATGATCGAACACTATGCAAAACTGGGTTGTTTCCTACTGAGGGGGGGAGGGAAAATTTTCAGGCATAAATAATATAAAAGGGCACACATTTTAAGATACATTCATATGACATTACTGCTACAAAAATAAATAATGCTTTTTCTCTGATTTGAATTAATGTCCTTCACACAGTCCATTCCCAGGCCTGTTCTGTGCAGTGACTGGCTGGAGTGGGAACCTGATGAGTCCCGGGCACATCCTCAGGTCTCCTGGGGCTGCTGAAGGACCCCAGCGGGGCTGTCTAAAGGAATGCCAGGAGGAGACCATGTTGTCTTTTCAGTACAGTCCTTTGAAGCAGGTGGCAAGATAAGAGGATTCCAACTTAAAATTGTGTTCTCTGTTTCTGAATGGACACAGCTGTCTCCTGAAAAACACAAAGATTTGGGAGCACCGTGAAATCATAAAGGCTGGTTTTCACAAAGCAGTCTCAACACGTTACTTTGAGCAATAAAGAAAGAATAATGAGCAAAAGCAGAGCCCAGCTATGTTTAGTTTGAATGTGAGGGAGACAAAAGGTATAAAAGGTTTAAAATAAAGTTGAGCTCTGACGAGCAGTCATACAGTTCACCTCAGGGCTAAGGCAAAAACCCTTAAAAGCCCCCAAAAAACCACTGTACATAAGAGCTACAACTCCAGGATCAACTCAAATGAACCCAAGGTGCAAGACCACAAAAGGCATCCTTTGGTCCAGGTGCAAACGGAATCAAAGCCTATTTGGGTTTCTTTTCCAAGATGTAATGGAACTGACAGCCTGAGCTGAAGAAGGTGAATAATAACAAAACTTCAAAATCTACCTAGTCAGCTTTTCTGGAAGTATCCAACACCCCACCCAGTCTTTTAAAGAAGATGTGAGTGGTCACAGAGAGAACACATCTGTGTCACCTTCCCGTATCCATAGCTACGTGAAGACCGTCTAGAACAGTGGTTCTCAACCTTCCTAATGCCACGACCCTTTAATACAGTTCCTCATGTTGTGTGACCCCCAACCATAAAATTGTTTTTGTTGCTACTTCATAACTGTAATTTTGCTACTGTTATGTATCGTCATGTAAATATCTGATATGTAGGATGTATTTTCATTGTTACAAATTGAACATAATTAAAGCATAGTGATTAATCACAAAAACAATATGTAATTATATATGTGTTTTCCGATGGTCTTAGGCGACCCCTGTGAAAGGGTCGTTCAACCCCCAAAGGGTCGCGACCCACAGGTTGAGAACCACTGATCTAGAAGCTTTGGTTGTATGATGCCTCCCTGTACCTCTGTGGCATCCCGCTGCATCCTCCGTGGACTCAGAGGTGACCTCGCTCCTGCTGTCCTGACAGCACGTATGCGGAGCAGGTCTTGCTGCCACCTCGTCCCCGATGCTCTCTCCAGGTGACGGGCCACCGTGGGGGGGTGTGGAAGCCTGACAGGCAGGCATCTTCGTGTGACTGAGGGGCTTCATTTCCAAACCGTCCTGAGCACAAGGCGCTGCCACTGGGACCACAGAAAGGGGGCTGCTGCTGAAAGTGCCGTTCGTTTTGGTGAAACACCTACAGGGTATAAACCAAAAGGAACAATTTTGTCTGGAGGAATCGACAATTAAAATACATGGATTTTGAAATATCATGTGTATCCCAGATTCTTAAGAGGCTGGTGCTTAAAAATAACTAAAGTCTTTACTATGACCTGATACATCAAAAACTCAGAAATAACAGTGAAAGTGGAATACAACGGGAGAATAAATCAAGAGGCAGACAAACCACTTAGGAATGGAACCTCATCTGATGCCTCCTTGGCCTCAGTCCACTGTCAGAAGTTGTTTCCTAATTCATAACTGGCTCCTGAACACAGGGCACAGCAGGAAAAGGCCAGGAGCCACTGGAAGAATGGGGGGAGGGGACTTAAAGCTAAGCAACTGATGTCCCCCTAAGAGAAATGACCTTATGCAAACCAAGGAAAATATATTTCTTCAAAGTCTGATAACAGGTTCCCTCTCACCCTTGGAAGAAACACTACTGAATCAAAGCCTATAAGGATTAGATATTCAAAATCTAGATTTTGTTTCTTTTTCAATTTTTTTCTTTGCAGAATTCACTTCAATTCTGCCACACTTTTATTTCTGGTCTTCATCTAAGACACTTGTTTTGTTTTTCTTTCCATTCTTCAGACCTCCTAATTTCTATTGATCTTCTAGTTCATGACTCTTTCTTCTACTGTTTCTAATCTGATGACAAGCCCATTCCAGTTATTGCAGTTTTCTGCTTTGGAATTTCCATTTGGCCTTCTTTTTTACAGTTTCTATTTCACAGACAAAAATTCCCATATGTGAATTCATGTGTGTACATCTTCCTTTAAATCCTTGAATGCATTTTTGATAGCTGCTTTAAAGTCACTGTCTGCTTATTGTGACATCTGAGTTACCTCAGGGTCTGTTTCTGTTGACATAAGATAATGAAGACTCGGCCATGTATAGCTTGTACTTTTTTCCCAGATGGGATATATACATTTTTCCAAGCTGATCTTTACTTGGCTACTTCCTGTCCATTTCTAATCTCTCTAGGACCCTTAATTTCTTGTTCCTTCCTGATGGGACCTCTCAGTTCATTCATCTGTGAATTTCATCAGTGTCCTCTCTCTACCAATTATCAAGACTGATGGTAAACAGACCAGATTTAATGCCAATTCCTTCCTATTAAACTCGCCAAGCAGCTGACAAACCCCATTTGATTACATATCCAGAACTGCACTGATGCCGTTGGAATTGAGGAGAGGAGAGAAGAAGGGTAGAAAGTTCTTATTTGACTGAAATCTGTTTAACTCTTGAAATGCCCATTTTGCACAGGGTTTCTAACTAAGTCTTTAGTGTAGGGGACTGGAGCCTGGAAAAGCTTATTGGGTATGCTATTAGGTAACACAGTAAGCTACTTATTACATATGACTCTGAACACTGAAAAGGGTCAGATGAACTGGACACAGTGAGGTAGTCATTCACAATGTGCCCCAAGCCCTAGAATCAAATTAAACTCCACAGGTGGCTCCGCACACCCCCTCCTACCTGTTCTGGAAATTTCAAGTCAACACTCCAGTTTAGACAGTAAGGGCAACATTTCCTAAGTTTATTATTCAAACAGAGGGATGATCCAGGGTCTGTGGGTGACAATGATTTTTTCTTACAAGTCTGCTCCAAGAATGCATTTAAGTGTCACCCTAAGAAGGCAGAGAAGAGAGTATAGAGGGGCCGGTACAGAGCAAGAAAGACTCCGCATGGAAAAGGCCCGCAGCGAGACCCCTCCAGGTCTTAGGAGAGCTGCCCGGGTAACGTGAGTGTGATGAGGCCTGACGGGCGTCTGACAGGATGATTCCCAAGTTATGCCGAGGGGCAAGCAGTCTCTCCCCATCTCATACAGCGATTCCCAGCTAGGTCGTGGCACCGCCACCTGGACACCGTCCCTGACACCTCCTTCTCAGACTGCCTCATCAACCAATTACTCATGTCTTTGTTTTTCTAATCCTCACCTGGGGATATGCTTTTTTATTGATTTATTTTTTTTTAGAGAGAAGGAAGGAGAGAGATAAAGAGAAACATCAATTTCAGTAATATAACTATGAAAAAGCATTACTATACACACAGTGGTTTTCCCTAATAATCACGCATACTCTCATCATAACACAGAATAGAAACACCCTATAACACAGAGTGAAAATAACAGGTGAGGAAAGATAAAGTCTGTACAAAGAGAATGACTCTAATTTAAAGATTTCAAAAACCTCAAACCTTTTAATACCTTAGAAACAAAGTTTTTAATATTGTCAGTATTGCTAAAGAAACCAAAGCACAGAAAGATAAAAACTGTAAAACAGGGGTAAAAAAAATTGTAACAGCCTCCCTTATTCAGAGTTTTACATCTTAGGTAAAATTTGAAGAACTTGTTTGCTAAAGGGAGAAAATAAAAGGAGTCAAACATCTACTCACAACAACCTGTGCAAATACATATCAACCTACCTATTGTTATTCCAGCAATTTCGACAGGTGACGCACTCCACCGGCTCAGTCTGAGGTACTGCTGTGTACATTCCACCACCCTGGTCAGGACCAAGTACAGGGAAAAGAAAAGAAGAAACAGGGCTGAAGGGGCCATCGACCACTACCTTAGTACTCACAAATACAAAAGCCAGGCCAGCAGTCCATGGATACAGGGCCTATTTTAACCGACTCCCTAAGCAATGCTACGCTGACCACTGCTCGCCTATATTCACAAAGGAGTTCTGCACAATATTAAAGCCACTCCAAAAACTTAGCTGCCATGTTTCCCATGTATTTTTGTACTGGAAGGAGGCAAATAAATGGAGGTTAGTCACTTCCCCTCAGTGTTACAAACCTAATGAGCCCACAACACACTGTACGTTCTAACCTTCGAGTCATTTTCACCCCCAGCAGCCGCGGAAGAGCTGCACGTGATACCAGCTGGAGAAACAGGGGAAACGCCTGGATGATGTCATAAGATAACCCATCCTCATTTTCCTGTAATTATTCCTAGTGGGTCTGTTCACTTGACTACACTACGGCTTAGAACATGTTATGTTTTTCCAGATGGAGCAGATTCTCAGCCAGCAATGACTTGGAGGGGACTATTAATATTTTGATGTTGCTTTTGGCGCAAACTGCCCAGCAATTAAGAAAAATGCCCAGATTAACACATACCTCATTGTCAAATGTTCACTTGACATGTACAATGGCAAGAGTTCCTAAAAACTGAGTTAAGAACTGAAGCAGCCTCACGGTCAGAGTCAGAATTCTGCTCGCAGAGGAGCGACAGCAGGAGGGAACTTGATAAGGGTGGGCGAGGCTGTTGCGGCACCAGGGCTCGGAGCAGGCCTTCAAGGTTAGGAAAAGTTCAGGCAATTGTTTTTCCCAGAATACTTTCCATTTCCACTCAGCTCATACCAACAGCCAGAATCCGAGCAAACCAAAAACACTGAAAATTTCTCTCAATATTCTTGATCCAACTAGCAACAGGAACTTTTAAGAAAACACTGAGAGAAAGAATATTCCAAGGCCATATTCAGCCCCTGGGCTTAAACTTAAAAGCTTCAGACAATCAAGTCAGCAATCTACAGGGGAAGGTACTTACTTGAATCACTAACCATATTAAAGTGAATTAATGATTTTATGATGACCATCATTTTTTAAATTGCCAGACTGCCTTCCACCCAGAAGAGCAGAACAAGAAAACAAATGAGTTAAAATCACAGGTGATAACCTCTACAATTTTACACCTAGTGGGGTGACTATTATTTATATGAAATAGCAATTCATTGTTCAAAAAACCAAAGGACTATGTTCAAATACTAAGAAAACATCAGACTCATTTTTCCTCCTATGGAAATAGCATGTGCTGCTCAGACTTCAATGTTCTCTCCTTCGGTTTCTTGGACAATGTGCATAGTTTGGATTAGGAATGGTGACAAAAAAAGTTTAGGGAGTCTGAATATAGGCCATGTCTTTCCACACGAAATAATGAGATCATTGTTCTCTTTTGGTAATGAGATGCAGTAAAGCAAATAAGGTATTTTTTCTACAACATACTAAAGCTAGGTCACATGACAGCCACGAGCTTCCCAGCTTTAAAATATAAATATATGTCATTGCTTTATCCTCCAAATATTTAATAAATCTTTATAAAAGTCAACGATAAAAAAATTTCTTCAAATTTTAGCATATTGTGGGTCACGGCAAACTTATCTGTAATCAGAACAGTGACAAAAGCTTAAATTTGATAAACTAAAATAATCTCTTTGGTTGAAAAATAATATGGATGCGTATCCAAACCACGTAGTAAGTCAACCGTCCTGGTGCAGAGACCCTCTGTAACCAAAATACATCTAAGATATTCTACTCATTCTGTTCCCATTTCAAAAGGTGAACTGTATCAGCTAGTTATTCCTGAATTACAGTGGTTTTAAAGCTTTATCCCCTCTTGTGGCTCAGAATATTAACACTGTGAAATGCAGGCATCAAGACTACCACACATTGGGCAAAAGAAACTAAAGAATCACAATGTGTTAGCAGTCAGTCTGGTGGCCTGTAGACATGTTCCGCGTGGCCATGCAATGACTTTAAAAACTGGAATGAATTTCCAACATGTCAACAGTCTGGCAACTATGCCCAACTGCCTGACTTTAAAAACTGGAATGAATTTCCAACATGTAAACAGTCTGGCAACTATGCCCAACTGACGTGGTTGAGTGGTTGAGCATTGACTCATGAACCAAGAGTTCGCAGTTCGCTTCCCCATCAGGGTTGCAGCTCAATCCCCTGTAAGGGGCGTGCAGGAGGCAGCTGATCAATGATTCTCTTTAGTCAGCGATGTTTCTGTCTCTCTCTCCCTCTTCCCTCCTCTCTCAGAAATCAATAAAAACATTTAAAAAACACCTGACAATTTCACCTGTACTTGCAGGTGCTTTGCAAAAGCAGGAAATCTGGCCACACTGGGTCCTACACGCCAACAACAGGAGGGGAGCTGCCGTGCCTCTAAGACAGCGCGTGTGCTGTGCCTTTGCTGGTGCCTCCAATGCCTGCCCCGCCCTTTACTCAGTGTCATGATCGGCCAGACTCCTCCAGGGATGAGAGTTCTCAGGCTTTGCTTTGAGTCAAATTTAAAGGATCTGGACCAGCCTTCACCCAATGATTTTTCCATTTCATCTCAAGAATAACTTCCATTTATTTGCTACATGTTCTACTTTCAGTGCGAAATCATCTAAAAATATCACCCAAATTGGCGAATATATCTATGACCTGATAATAGAAATCTTACAAAGATTACGCTGGATCGAGGGGTTGCCAGGGATACATACTAGTTCCATTCCAGGGAACCAGTGAGGTTCCCACAGTGAAAAGAGCCAGCATGCCCACCTGCTCTTGTACCTGGGCACCGGGGTGGGGGGGACAGGGACAGCGTCATTTCTAATTGGGTCTCTTACATTCACTAGATGATGAGGCTGTTCAAAGTCCACACGTGTCCTGGCTAGAGAGCTCGTGTGCCCAGGGTAATGCCCTCCGTTTAAGCTCCCGTTCACGGGCCCACGGACCCCGTTAGGGACCTTGTGGTGAAGGTGGGAGCAGCCGTTGCCGAGACCCCCGCTGCTTAGGAAGCTCCCGTGCACATTTCTGTTTATCCGGGTGGTGCCGGGCAGGGGGGCGTATTCCACCATCTGCCCATTGATGTCCGAGCCTTGGTACAGATATCCTGGTGGGTCGTATTCTGTCAAGAAAGAACAAAAAAGAAGAAAAAAAGATACTGAAAAGGATGACCTTCTTGCTTAGGAAGCTGTATTAACAAAACCATTAAGAAACTGCAAACACACGAAAAGAAGACACTCTGCAAGTGCTCAGTGAGAGCCTGCTTGTGAGCTCTGCTCCAGTGAAGTCACTGCTGCCGGTCCCTTTACCTGTGCAAGCATCTAGGAACTGAGTTAATTATGACTCTGTTAATGAGAAGAGGAATTAACCAGGGAGCAGTTACTCAAAAGAATAAAATGAGGAAGGAAGGAAGGGAGGGAGGAAGGGAGGGAGGGAGGGAGGGAAGAAGGAAGGAAGGGAGGAAAAGAGGACAAAAAAGACAATTACTGAATTGAGCAGGCTGAAACTATCCCAGTAATGGCAACACTAAGTGCCCTATACTTCAAAGTACGGAAAGAAATGGTATAAAACAACAGAAGGCTAACTATAGGCAGGATATTTCAGGATAGCAATAAATAACATTTTTAAGAAGAAGGATGGAGTTGTGTATGTATTTACTAACTATCCATATAGTTCCTTGGTTATTTTAGGCGCTTAGGAAATTGCGGAGTATTAAAGGCAAAAGGCTAATTATCCCACTTTCTTATATTAAAACCATGTAACAACGGTCTCACAATTCTGATTTCCAGAGGCACACCTGCCAGGTTCCTTTAGAAAAAGTACAATATCCCTTAGCAAGCACAGCACCTGAACTGTGCAGGGTTTGCTGTCAGAGTTCTGCTAATGCTACAGCCGTGCGAGTGCCCGGCTGGGTGAGGTCCCCCCTCATCTCGCTGAGCTCGAAGAGGCGTGTGGTGAGAGTCTGCCTGCTTCTCTTCCCCAGGAAACGCTAAGCTGAGGGGGCAGAGACCACGCTTCATCGATTTACCTCTATCACCATGTCTACCAGTGCCAGGCACACAGAACACAGTCCATGATGACCTTTTGAATGAATGACTGCATCAACATTACTACTTTAAATGTCCATCTTTAAACATTATCAAGTCACACAAAAATGACTTTAACCAGATTAGTCTTGTCCAGGCAACCCAATCATGACTTTCCATTTAATAATTCAGCACAACCTCAGCAATTAAGGTCAATGACATTAACACCATTTAGAAAAAGACCCAATGAAACGCTCTCCAAGCCTTTCAGTCTGGTTCCATCATCACCACCACCTCCCTCCATGCCTATCTCCTGGAAGGCACCAGGCCAATTAACTCCCTTTTCCCCCTGAGCTGTCGACGACAAAGGGGAGTATGTGGGAGGTGGCTGACAGAAGCCAGAAGTGCCTGTCACCACTGGTGTCCTCCTTTGCTTTTCTGTCATTCTCTTACTCTTGGGCCAAAGGGGAAACCAAAAAACTGCCTCCCACCAAAGATGAAGTCTCTGGTGACCCTGAACAGCTGGGGGAACAGGACAGACAGGAACAGAACTGGGGGAAGAAAAGGGAAAAGAGTTCTAGATCATGTGTTTAAATACAGTGCCATCCCTGACCTAGCTTAAGCCCTCCTCTTACTAGATGCATTAGGGGAGGGATGCACTTGAGTAGTTTTGGTATAACAGGTACCAAAACAGGGCCGTGTTATCTTAAACTGTCATTCAGGGACAGTAACTTAGAGAAGTCTTCACTCCCTTCCTTCCCATCATGCCTCTTCCCTTCCCTGTTGACAAGGTGTGTACAGCCTGGAGGCGCTCCTGCAGCCACCACAGAGCTCCTGATTCAAGCACTCGTCCCCTCTGCTGGTCTGACAAAGCCAGGCTCTCCCAGCGCGGAGTCAGCTCTTTGCTCAGAGCCCAGCTTAGCTTTGGCTTTGCTGTTATATCTACCGGGCAATTTAATCTGATGCTCCACTTACTCTGTTGACAACTAACAGTTTTAAAGTCACCTCTGACTGAAGAGGAGCTAGTGGATTTTATGCCATGACACTAATACACAGAACTGTGAAAAGTCAGTATTTATTCTGACTGTATTTTCCCCCCCATCTTCTTCAAACAAGCAGACGAAACTACTGGGAATGCCTTACTCTGCGTGGTGTTCTGCTGGCGGTTCTTCCACAGGCACATGGCGATGAAGACCATGAGGATGAGGACCATGACGCCCAGCACACAGCCCACCACCAGGTACAGCATGTCGCTGCTCCTGGCCGGGCTGGCTGCAGGCCCCACGTTGCCTCCGCCTCCTAAGGCACTGGGAGGGGTGCTCAGGTCTCTGCCAGGATCCTCCGAAGCTCCGGGAACGCGTTTCACTGGGTGCGATAGAAGGAAAACATGATGTCAGGGTGAATACAGACTATGACGGTTTACTCTCTGCAGGAGGTCTGGCTAGGAGCTTAGCCGGTCTGTTTATACTTGTTACTGAGATGATCTGACCACCAATGAGTTATAAAGAGGACTCAAGAGTTTCAAAAATCTGGTGCGCCAAAGATTTGGTCCACACATTCTAGAGAAAACAGACATCAGAAAACATACGCGCTTGGTATGACCCGAACTCCTGGTTATCTGCCCAATTCACACGTTCAGAAGACTCCCGAAGAGTTGAAATAAAAGTATTTCAACTATGGATGGGATAAAAACTCCTTTCTATCGGGTATACTTAGGGCTGAATTACATATTTTATGCCTCTGCCATGTGATGAGTATTAGAAGATATGACTTTGAACTATAAGAACAATTACATACAATCCCAACAACCTCACACATAAATATAAAGGATTCCAACACCAAAGCCGTTTGGAGTCCACGTCAGTACAGTACTTTTACCTAGCTCACTGGTATCACCGTGAGAACGAAAGCTAACCACAGGTGAGACTCAAACCCCATTTTTCTCTGTCCCCAAACAACATGCTCTTAATGCCTTAAAGGTCGTGGAAAGGCAGTGGGCTCAGTGACTGGCAGTGACTGGCTAGGTCTAGATCCCGCCCACCACTTGCCCTCAGCTGCCTGGCTTTAACCTCCTGCACGTGGGAAAAGGGGATAAGAACAGCTCCATCACAGGCTGTAATGAAGAGTGAACGAGTCAGCCCACATAAAGCACTTAGAACAGAGCCTTAAAGGTGGCACATGGTGTTCAATTCTGTATGAGTATTACTTATGACACCACATGCCATGTTATGCCACCTAATGGCCCATATGAGCAGAGTGGTCTTTTAAAAAATCAACTTCCACCTTATATCGGAGTTCAATATTCTAGCAACATTAACAGACAGAACAGAGCCGGGGGTGGTAAAGGAGAGGCCACCTTGCGAAGGGGAGAGCTCTCCATCGCGGAGAGCTAGCTGAATGATTGGCAGAGACTCGAAAGGAAAATGGTATGTTGGATCAAACAATTCTCAGGTCCCTGCCGATTCTAAAGAAAACAAACAAGTTTCTAAGGCAGAATGGATGTTCCAGACTCTACAATAAAGATCAGGATTACTCATAGGGAAGTCCTTCCGGTTTATTCACTCTTTATTTGCCCTTAATTTATTCATAATTCTACCAAGCTTAATGATCTGGTTGCCAACCTCTTGTTAAAGTTAAAAACTTTGGTGGCAGAGGGTGAGTCAGACAGACCCATGGACATCACTCAGAGGCAGCTCAGAATGTGAAATAAGAAAGGTGGCATGAAACACATGAAGCTCCTGGGACACAGTCACCAAAAACGGAGAGAAGCAAAGAACCATGGACGAATCCTGCCAGTCGATGATCTCTGAGGGTGGGGAATGGGAGTCTTCAAGCACCTGTCATTCCTGAAAACCTTCCTGAATTACTGAGGATAAGATGATCAGTGCTCAGAACTTAGAGTCATTTCTTTAAAAGGTGCATTTGTATAGAACATGTTCTATTTAAACAGGCTAGGAATCGCAATACATTGTAGAAAGTCATTCAACACGAACAGTTAACATTTTTTTTTAACAAAGTATCTTTTTTTTAAAATATATTTTATTGATTTTTTACAGAGAGGAAGGGAGAGAGATAGAGAGCTAGAAACATCGATGAGAGAGACATCGATCAGCTGCCTCCTGCACATCCCCCACTGGGGGGATGTGCCCGCAACCCAGGTACATGCCCCTGACTGGAATCAAACCTGGGACCTTTCAGTCCGCAAGCCGACGCTCTATCCACTGAGCCACACCGGTTTCAGCGAACAGTTAACATTTTAAAGATGTTTTTTCAGCCCAGCCAGAGTGACTCGGTTGGTTGAAGTGCCATCCTGTGCACCAAAAGGAAAGATGTTTTTTCAGCCCAGCCAGAGTGACTCAGTTGGTTAAAGTGCCATCCTGTGCACCAAAAGGCTGACCAGTCAGGGCACATAAATGGGTTGCGGGTTCGATTCCCAGTCAAGGCATATGCAGAAGGCAACCAATGTCTCTCTCTCCTCTCTCTCTCTCTCTCTCTCTCTCTGTCCTTAGGTGAGGATTAAAAAACAGCAACTTCACTTTAAAAAGAATTCTTTCTTTTCGCGCTGATCTGAAAGTCTGCAGGGAGGACCTCTTACTCCCCAGTGAAGTCAATGAGTGCGAGATGCTATTGCAGACACAGCTATACTATCATCCTATTTAAACAACAGTTATTACATTGCTGGCTATGTGTTATGTTTTGTGTGGCTAGATTCCTAAATGTCTGGGGAACAGAAATGATAAATTCCATTTTTATGTAACTTTCCTCTGAGCATTACAGCATTCTAGAGGCGGATAAGAAGTGCCCAATAACACATCAGAGTGCCTCATACAAGAAGGCACTTAAATCTGTGCTCACCAAATAAAATTCAAGGTAAATCTGAAGGTCTATGCATATATATGTTTAAATGTTGACTCAGTATATGTGTTTTGCAGCAGGAAGACGTGATTTAGAAATAAAAGATGGAACTGAGTCAGTCTTTTTGACCCCTTCTATTATCTTCATTTAAATTGGGGTAATAACATCACCTGTACAGATGCTAAAGGCTGCCGAGCCTCCTTCTCCCATGCAGGCAGGCCCCCAACTCTGTTTAGGTGTCCGCTGAACACCCCAGAACTCTGGATGGAGTAGATCCTGATCCATCAACCACCCCAGGAATGATAGGGGCATGTGACTGAGGTCTGGCCAATGAGACCCGAGGGGGAAGGATCAACTAGAGCAGTGGTTCTCAGCCTTGGCTGCACATTAGAATCACCTGGGAATCTTTTTAAAATCCTGATTTCTGGGCTTCATCCTCCAGAAATTCTGTTTCTTTGTTATGGGGTGGGGCCACAACATTAGTAACAAAGAACCAGAATTTCCAGAGGATGAGACCCAGAAATCAGGATTTTAAGAAGATTCCCCAGTGATTCTAATTGCAACCAAGGTTGAGAACCACTGAACTAGAGGATTCTGGGAAGTTTCCCTTGGTTCTTAAAAATAGCACCAAGTCCTAGCTGGTTTGGCTCAGTGGATAGAGTGTTGGCCTGCAGACTGAAGGGTCCTGGGTTTGATTCTGGTCAAGGGCACATGCCCAGGTTTTGGGCTTGATCCCCAGTAGGGGGCGTGCAGGAGGCAACTGATCAATGATTCTCTCTCACTGATGTTTCTATCTCTCTCTCCCTAACTCTCTGAAATCAATAAAAATACATTTAAAACAATAAAAATTGCACAAAGAGGCATGTTTAGTTGGTTGAGCATCATCCGGCACACCAAAAAGGTCTCAGGTTTGATTCTGGTCAGGGCACGTACCTAGGTTGTGGGTTTGATATTCAGTTGGGGCATTTTGGGAGGCAGTCAATGGATATTTCTCTCATACATCGATGTTTCTCTCTCTCTCTCTCTCTCTCGTCAGCAAATATTTCTGTTCTCTTGATGGAGAAGAGAAAAGAAGTGGCTTAGAGTGACAGAGAAATTAATAAATGTTATGGATATTTATGTGAATTATTTTTTAGACAAGTGCTCTAGCCAACATAGTATCCCTTCTGTTTGGACAGTCTAACTGAATGCACCGAGAAAAAGGCCCAAAGCAGAAGTTTCCTTCGGTAAACATATCAATAGTCCGAAGGAATAATCCAGAGTTTGGAAAAAGCACAAATCCTCACCCGTCCCTTACCTTTAGTCTCACAGATCATCACATTACTAAACTCGCTCTCTCCTCCTTCGTTGAAGCACTGCATTTTAATGTCATAGGAGGTTTCTGGCTGCAGATGCCCAATCGTGTGCCATTGCTTTGAACCTAGAAAGAAAGATAAGAGACAAGCTTTACGTGTCATACAACCTCAGTGATTCTGTCAAGATAATTACTTAATAATTTCAAAATGAGGTGGGAGCAGCATCCATTACCATATAGCCAGTCTGTATGATGAAAATGTACTTGTTCATAGTATTT